CTCGCTCAGTGCCCAGACTTATCAGGTGACAAAGAGCAGCTGAATGTGCCTTCCTCGCCATTCACCTCATGCTTGTACCTTACTCGAAGGGGAAAAAATAGCTCCAACTACAGGGAGGCTGCAAGTGTTGGTTTTGCTGCTGTCTGAGGGGCAGTGAGTTCTCAGCAGGCTGTGGAGCAAACAGACCCAGCAACCAGGCTAATAGCACTGCCAAACTGGGTCTGAGGGCAAAGAGCTGAACTGTATCTGCAGTGTGGCACAGGGTGGGAACAGTGGCTCAGTGCCCTGCTGGGAGGAATGAAATTTGATTTGGAAGCATTTCCCAAAATTTCCCAGGGACCATGGAGATCCAGGGAGGTTCATGCCTGGGAAGGGAGAAAAGCACAAGCTAAAGCCATTTCCTTGCAGCTCCTGTTAGCTTTGGAAGGAGCATGTCTCGTGGTCAGAAAAGGGGACAGGGAGTCAGGTACTAGATTTTTCCTGGCCTGTAACATCTCTCTGAAAATTTATGAGGAAAGGATAGAAGGAAGGGGAGGGAGAAACACAATGAAATGCAGATGCAATGGCCTTAAATAAGCCTTAACTAACAACTGGGTTGGGTTTCCTATTCAGAGACACATCCTCTTGGAGAGAGTAATTGGTGAAGCAGCTACCAGTGAGATCACAGAGGCACTGCCTATGTTAAAGTTCAGAAACAGCACTGGAGGATGGGAGAGCCAGCATGGGGCTCAGACATGATCACAGCTAAGATGTGTTCTGGCCATGACTTCCACGAACCTGAGCAGCTGTGAGATTTACTGTGTGATGCCAGGGAAGCAAAAGCAGAAAGGACAAGGCATCCTAGAGCCACAGAAGTTCAGGATACAAAACTCCCATTGGGTCCCTTCTACAGTACCTCCCAGGTACCCACGAAGGGTTGTTTTCTCTGGTGTTCTTCTGGTGCTTCATCCCTGTTCTCTAGGGATGAGGTTCCCCTCACAGGCACTAACAGCTTACTTAGATTTACTCTCCTCCAGTTCCTGTATCTTCTTATTGGCAGCCCTGGGCTGGCCAGGTAAGAGAAACAAGCTCTTCTACTGGAGCTGACCAGCTCCTTCCATGTACATAGGCACATTCCTCCTGATATAAAGAAAGCTGCATAGAAATCACTCTCCAAATGCGGGGGGAAAAGCAGGCAAGTTTCTTCTGAACTTAACAAAGTAGAAGGAACGGTGCCAATAAGAAATATGCCACTAATAATAATATTTAGGGTGGTCCTATTGTGTAGATAATCTCCCTGCTCACTTCTCAGGAACTATGTGGTAGAAAAAGTTGAGCTGCACTGGAGCCCCTTGGCTTGGACACAGAAAGCTTAGAAAATGAATGGGGCTCTTTCAACCCAAGCCATTCTAATAAGCAGTGATATCTCTCTTGTAGCCAGCAGATATCATTGGGCTGCAGGAGCAGCTGGGCCAGTTTTTATGCTTCAGTTCTAGACTCCTGAGCTCCTTCCATAACTTGTGATGGAGCAAACAAGAGTCCACAGGGAGAAAGCCTTGGCCCTCCTGACCTACACAGTCCAATCCCTGCCTAGCTGGCCTGGCCCAGCATCTTTCCAAGCTAGATAAATTGAATCCGACAGTTTGCTGAGTAATATCAGTGGTGAGACTTTAAACAGGGTGTTCTGATCAAATGGGGAGTTAGGATGAGTGGGAAGCAAGGGAGGTTTGTCCAGGGGCACTTACTGGCTTGTTTGGCTTTCTCAACATAGGTGGTGGTTAGATCTTCATCTACTGGGTGTTCCACTGGCCCCACCATGGGGATGAGATGGCGCTCAGCTCGGATGGTCTTGGTGGCATGGGGCAGGAGCATGGCCTCGGAGCATGCTTCCCTTCCCTCTGGTATAGGCAGCTGCAGCAGCACCTCGCTCTCCGAGAAGGGGGTCTCCGTGCGGCTGCCAGGCTGGTACACAATCTCTCTCTTGGCCACCCCACTCACATTCTCAGTTCCTTCACCCGCCTGCACCGCAGCCTCAGGGGTGCTGTCATAACCGCTCTGCTCAGAGAGGGAAACCTCATCCTGTGGTGCATCCACCTTGTTGTTGGAGCCCCCTGGTGGGGAGCGAGGGCTCTTTTTTCGGGCCCGCCGTTGTTTCTCCTGAGCAATGTTGTCAGCATCACTATCTGTCTCGCCATAGTATGCCTCGCTGTCTGGGGGCGAAGTCATGCTCTCCAGCTGCTGTAGCCTCATCCGCTGCTGCTCAGGTGGTGTGGTGGTTGGGGCACCTGCTGGCTCTGGGCTGAGCAGCTGGGGCGTGGGGCTGACTGGGGAGGTAGGGGAGAGCACCCGTGGCTTTCCAGGGGAAGGGGAGCGCAGGAGTCGTGTAGCAGTCTGGTCTCCACCAGTTGCCCTATGGAGAGAAAAAGGAGTGCACTGGTGAAGTTCGGTTGATGTGAGAGCTTGGCAGAAAGTTCCCAGGGTGTGAAAGGATGCCCACAGCCCAGGGGAGGGATAGGTGACCTAAGCTTCACCATTCTGGCCCTTTTCTCCAGTCCTTAAGTCAAAGGGCTGCTTAAGCCCTGAAACTCATCAGGCCCACATGGTCACGGTACCCTAGTGTCTACAGCCATCAGTACACAAGGGAGCAATGTGACCAGTCTCACATCTGGCTGACTTTGTACCCCCAGCCTTAATTTAGAACTGGGTCAACTGGAGGCAACCTCCAGCACAAGTCTAGAGCAAGATTCAGCCCATGCCTCCAGGGCCACAGTAAGATACTATAGCCACTCTCCCCTGTCCAATCCTTAATCCCTGTGCAAAATGAGTTTAAAACACTACAGAATCAGATTATCCAATGATACAAACAAGCCCCAAAGCCACTTACAAACTTCCCAGTCTTTTCTTCTGGTCTAGGTGGAATCCCTATCTGGCAAACAGCCTGTAAAGCAAATCTCTCCCTGCCAGACTACCCTGCAGGAGACAGGGTATTATGCTCCTGCTTTTCCTAGCTGGAATGGTCCCTGAGAGCTGTTAGCAAGTGGACATTGTAGGGCTGCTTTGAAACTGCTTTGACTTATGCTGGAACCCCAAATCAGGCACTGGAACTATGGTGCTTTCCATCAATTCTCATGAGTGTATATGGCAACCAGAGATACAGTGCCGTGGAGAAACTGGCCCAGACCCTGTGGATACAACTCTGCTTGTCAGAAAGGAGAGATGACTCCTTCCTCTGGGAGACCTATAAGCAAGTGACTTTAATACAGGTACAGTGGGTCAAGGGCATTGGCACCTTCTGCATGGGTGTGTGTAGGCCCCAGTCAGGAGTGATATTTGCCTTTCTCTCTGATACTAGAGGGTTAGCTAGATTTGTGTCCTAGGGTAGAGACAGTACAGGTCATGGTCCATCATTCTGATGCCTAGCTTGGATGTGCTGGATCAGCTATGTCTGCTCTACAGGAATAGCAGGTGGCAGGTTTCTCTCCCCTGCCCTAGACCTTGAGGGTTATCATGATTTCCAAAGGCAGTTTGTCTTGAGGCTGCATTTTTGGGGCAGTGCTCTTCCTCCTCCACTTTCCAGCACAATTTAGGCTTGGAAAGAGTCATGGTCTTTGACTTTTGTCTCTGTATGCCAAGAGCCATTCCTGAAGTATCTAGCCAGGCAAAATCTTAGTGGAAGTTTTGAGAGTGAAAGGCTGAGGAAAGATTTTCTGACATGGCCCAGGGGTTCTCACTGGGGACAAATCCTGCAGTTCTTATTATCTAAAACCTGATGTGTCTAAACTCTGATTAGAGCCAAGTATGCACTGAGCTGGGCTTTGGAGACTCAGCCCTTATTCTGGGGAAAGGTGATTAAAAAAGACTGAGTTTCATATTCCAAAAAAAAGAAGAGCTTGAAAAATCAAGCTCTGATAGCTGCTATCTAGTCAGAGGCATGACCACTGCAATACCGGCAATGCAGGTGGTGACCCTTCCTCAGCCTGTACCCACACTGCAAATGCTGGGTGCAGGGGCATCTCTTCTACATGGCATGGTTTAAGAAATATAAATTGATGCTTGAATTAACTGAATACTTTAGGTAACAATGTTGCTATAAGAAAGAATTGTTATTAGTACCGAAGTGTCTTAAAAGTCAAAATCCTGTTTCCACAATGACTTAGGGCCTTCAGGTGAATCTCATAAACAATTCTAAGTGCCTGAATAAAAATGGGATTTGGGCTCAATAATCATTGGCTCCTACTGAAAGGTGTACCCTCACTGCCCTAATGATGATATGAAAGGTGTTAACATTGATGGCAGATGGGCATGGAGGCTGTGGCAGTGCTCCATCATCTCCAGCGGATAGGGAAGGAGACGGAGCACCAAGTATTATGATGATGTACTGCAATTTAAAGCAATAGTGCCAGTCAGCTGAAGAGCCTGTTTCCTCCCAGGAACTTGTAGTCAACAGCCAGGCTCTTATAGCACCACAAAATGCATGTAGTACCACCTAGCTAATGCATTAGGCACAGGGCCTTGGGGGTTCTTTCCGATTCTCTAATTAAACTGTGGGTGCATATCATGAAAGAGAGATTGTGAGATGGAAACTGAAAGGGTTCAGGTGGAGGAAGAGCTTGCTTTGTTGGGAAGCTTCAGGTTTGGAGGTTCTCAAACATTTTTGTTGCATGGATCTTAAGAGAGAGTCCCCATCCCTTGCAGTCATTTGAATTTCCTCCTGTCCAATTTGTGGTTGTGTGAACCACTTCTCTTCCTGCTTCTGGCTACACAAATCTCCTCTCCCCTCCTGCTCTCAAGTCCCTCTATCCTAAAACTAAAGGGCTAACAGTTGCATTAATTCCTTCCTTCCTTCCACTCCTTATTTCTTAAAGGAACATTTATTTTTATGGCTTGCTGTTAGAGGCAGAGTGACACATGAGTCCTGCCTCCAAGACTTTTTCTTTAACTGTTAGACCAGAGAAGTACAAAGTGTTACTGTGTGGAGGGTAATACCCCTCTTCCTACCCAATCACTCTCTTTCCTCACGCTCCCCACCAACACACGTACACTCTGCATTCGTTGCATAGGAAATGAATGCTGCACCATGCAAGACTATAAATATGCCTCAGGGACTAGAGCTATAACAAGCAGCAGCATTTGGTGAGTCCCTCTGTTGCATGGGACATGGCCAGATGGTTATGCTATCCCAAAGCCATCTAATGCTGCTCCCAGCCAGCTGATCCACATACCCTGAGAGGAACCTGCCAGTGCCACTTAGCTAATTATAAGGGTGTTGATTTTGGCTCAGTGGAATGCAGGCTGGTGTAGTGAGATAAGGCCTAGAGGGGGATCAGTACTATTCTAAATGCCTTTTGCAGGCCTCTGTTATCACTCTGAATCGCTGCCAGGAGCCCAAAGCCTTGAGTGAGTGCACCACAATTGCTGCAAGCACTGGCTCACTATGACCAGATGTAGATTCACTTAGTAATGTTGGATGAGGTCAACTTCATTTTCCCCTTTTTTTCTCTCTAAGCACCACCTCTTTAGGTCCCACTTCACAGGGGATTAGTAGCTCATTCTCACCCTTGTCCAGGGACCAAATATTCTCTCACTTCAACACTGCAGAAACCCCATTGCCTGGGACATTTCCCAGTGCCTTGTGCAGGCTGGTGCATGGCAGGAGACAATTCTGCAGTTGCAGGAAAATACATTAGATGGGGCCTAACAAGACTTCGCCATCTCCCACAACACGCTTTACTCCTGTGCCTGGGTTGACCAAATCAACCCTAGGGCACTAGCCTAGGGGTACCTAGACATGAGCAGGAAGCTTCTCTGATGTATTGTAATTACAGCAGGTTGGAGCAGACTCAATTAATTAATTCTGCTGGAGCATGGTAATTACTGCACTCCAGCAGGCTCCAGTGATGAGCTTTAGATGAAGTGCCCCCGCCGCCATTGTGCAGCATGGGGACACTGATACATGAGATGCTCTGGGCGCTTTAATTAGAGTGGCTCTCAGAGTCGCTTTAATTAAAGTCCCCCCTCCCCCCCAGCACGTGTATAAACACCCTAGTTTAACTTTTGTTGCACAGGAGCTACTCATGTGCTTTAAGTTAGGCCTGTGCTTCAGTTCTTTGCTAGGTCAGGGCCTCAGTCACCAAGAAATTATGCTGGACAGAGGGACATACCTGGGCATACACCTATTAGTTCTTGATAGTTCTGTTCAGTATTGTGACATGCTATAAATAACACCCCCAGGATCATCACTACTTTACTCTTTCCTTTACTGTAACTATCCCAGTTGTACACAACACTTGCCTTATCCCAAGTGGAGCAGTGTCCTTGAGGTCATTAATCACTGTAATGAAACACTGCACACTATGGGACGGAGGCATAATGGCTCATTTATGACTTGAAGTCCCTTAGAAACTTAGAGAAATCTTTTTTTGGCTCAAGAGGTAGGAGCTAGGTTTATTTCCTGCTGTTGCTGTGCTGTGTGACTGGGATGCAGCATGTAGATTCAGGGAAGATAGCAGGGAAGTCCTAGGTCCTAGGGAAGATGCAGCATGTAGATAGCACGGAAGTCCTAGGTGCCTGCACAGCTGTTGCATGGAAGCCCTCCACTAATCTTGATTTCCTACCATCCTGCCATGCCCCAGAGCACTGGGGCACACTAGCCTGGCCCCCTGCCTTGTGTTATGTGAAAGAAGAGACATGACAGGTGCTGAGCAGAATAGATCTGTGCTGCAGTGTGTGGTTCCCTGCCCCTGTCCCTGCCCCAAGCCCAAGAACATGGCTGTTACCTTTTCACGCAGATATGCAAGGTGCCATTGGAGGAGTCAATGATCTGCATGGCGCTGGCATGGGAGAGGCCAGTGCAGGGCTTCCCATTGATGGACACCAGTTCATCATTCTCCCACAGGCCCCCCCGACACGCTTTGCTCCTCTTTCGGATCTGAAAGAAGAAAAGCAGAGGGGCAGGGGCAAAGGGTAGGGGGAAGGCTGTTGAATTCGACAGAAACTCATTGAGTTACTGAATTATCTTCTGGGTTTCCCCAAAGAAGCCAAATACAGACAAGGGAGACAAACCCCTCCCCGCTGCCCTGAACAAAGAGCTAGGCTGCTAGGTGAGTTCTAGTCTAATCCTTACTAAGCCTGGGGACCTCCAGCAACCCTGATAAATCCCAGCAGCCCACAGGGAACCTTTCACTAAGTACAGAGCTGAGCTGTTCATCTGTCAGATTTGAGTATATTAGTGCAAGTTAACAGCTGGGGGCTCTTCTCCTCTCACCCCCTCCTAGATTTCAAAGGGAGTCTGTGTCTGTGGGGTGGGGACGGGGGGACACAACCACTTATCCATTAAGCTAGCTGAGCATGTCAGCTCCCCCCACCTCCCCTTTGGGCTAGGGTAAACTCCCACAGTGCTGGGCAGCAGAATGTGGTCTGTCCCTAAGTGGCCTCTCCCGCTTCCACATCCAGATCCTGGAAACAGGCATAAACATATGCTGCAAGCACTGCATGGGGACTGGTCCTGCAGATTGGATAGGCATAAAGGAGCAAATATTAATTAGTGTGGATGGGATGGTGTCTAGCAATAGCTTTGGAGGACTTCATCCTCAGCTAAAGATGCCTGTGGGAAGTGCTGGGGTAGGGGGACAAGACACTGCCCAGCCTCTCAGCAGCATTTCTGAAACCTCCCTTGTTCTCTGCCCACTAAATCTCACTCTACCATGTCCCCAAGGGTATTGGTTTGCATAGCAGGCCTAGCAGGGCTGTGGTAGGCACTCTCACTTCTCTTTCCC